TAAATTTTTAACTTTACGGAAAGAAAAGTGAAATTCAAAATCATTAAAGGCTATCCAGATATAGTAATCCTCAATTGAAAAAGAAAAAAAGAAATGATTAAAAACAATCATTGAAATGAAAAGAAAAATATATAGGATTGAAAACAATCCAAATGAAAAAGAGAAAAGAAGGAAAAAATTATGGTAGTGAGAAGAAGCTTGAGGATATGCCTAATCAAAAATTGACTGCACTGGACCTACCTAAAGGGAAAACTTAAATACATTCCTAACTTATATTTATGGAATAGGTTTTTTGCTAGTAGAGTTCTCATGAAGTTTTTATCATTTGGATATTCTAAGTGACTTAATATTGCAACATATAGTCCTTCTTGAAATAAATAGAAGACTAGAACTCTTAAACTTGATGACTAGATAATCTGGTAGCTACAGAATTAATTCAATTACTTGAATTTTTTCTGAAAATCTCACAATGATATTTATTTAAATCAAACTTATTGTATTTCTGAATTAAGACTTTACTGCATTAGATCATAACTTTTATATAGTACTAAAATTACTTGAGGACAAGTAATATTTAAGTTTGGGGGATTTTGACCAAAAGAAAATATGTTGAGATTTTCATACCTATTTTATGTTGTTTTTGATGATATTGCACTTTAAAGAAAGGTATTTTTGATGTTTTGTTGTAGGAATAAGGAATTAGGGTCATTGGAGCAAAAAGATACAAAAAGAAGCAAATTTGGAGCGAAAAAGGACCAAAATGTGAAGATTTGAACTAAGTCGCCGACGGAGAGATTTTCCCGAGACTACAGAACAAAAATTCTTCAGAAGCCCGCCGACGGCGAGATCGACGGTTATGCTTACTCAAGCTTTGGATAAGGCCAAATTTTGAAGGGCCAAATTTTGTAAGGCCAAATTTTGAAGGGATGCTTAGGAAACTTTTGGGAAAGCTCATCTACAACTTTAAAAGAACATTTTGGCCGAAAAATAGAAAGGGGGAGATAGTGTGCTAGAGGTTCTAGAGGTTAGAGAGGTTCCATTAGTATGTAACAATTGTGAGGATTTCTTCGAGAGATTGTAAGAGTGGAGGGAAAGTGAGAGATTTCTTCCTCCTTGCTACTTTGAAAAGGAATTCCGTGTGCTGTAAAGAAAGGAAGAGATTCAGAGGAACTTCAAGGAGTGTTCATGGGGAGAAATTAGAGATAAGTTATTTACTTGTTGTAGTTTGTCTCACTCTGATTTTATATATGAATTCTGAGTTTTTTTGTGTTTTCCCCATGAGATCTGAGTAGTTTTCTCTGTCTTTCTCCTTGTCTCGAGATTTGTGAAATGGTGATTTGAATTGGTGAAGCCATGAAAATGTTTAGAAAATTGTGATGATCTTTTTACTTAGATCTTAATTTACTTTCAATATGGCCAATTGATTTATTAAAATATGTTGAGTTTTACAACTAAAGTGAATGTTACATCCAAGATTCAGGGAGGTCAAAGCCCTTGGAAGTTGGGTGTAAATAAATAGAGAAATATTATTTTCGGGCGAAGAATTGTAAATTTTAGAGTGCGAGACTAAAATCCCTAATTCGGTCTTATCGTTTGGGTACTGACTGTTGGGTAGATGAGAGCCCTCAAGTGAGGGGAACGTGGGAGCTCCGAAATGAGAGCCGGTATCCTCCCAGCTTAGCCGCAGAATCAGTAACCAAGCATAAGATTAGTCAATGTTCTTTATGCCAGGACCAAAGGGTAAATAATATGTATGCTCCTATTTGGCACAATCTAAATTGAACAAATTCGTTTTATCCATTCACTATAATTTCTTGACAAGGAGAATGATGCTTTCTTATAAATTGAATATCACAATCAAACCCTACTTTATATCATTAGTTATTTATTAGTTATTAAAATTATCTATTTATTTCAATTGCCTATTAATGACACATAAATAAATTGAACGTCGTTGTTGTGATTAAAGTCTTGCTTTTCTAAAAGTCTTAGTCTGTGATTCTAAAACACTCCCTGTGGGATCGATATGTAGGACTCCATTAGAGCCCTATATTATTTGTGAGCGATACGTATACTTGCGTTGACAAATTTGATTTTAACATTATTGAATATTATAATTATACAACTTAATCAAATCAGATACATCTATAAAGTCACGATCAACTTTTTGGACACTGTTGCTGGAAACTTAAATCTTCTAGTAGCGTCATCAAATTCTTGTATTTGTCGATTACAAAAAGAAGTCGGTCACCTACTAACGATTTTAACCTGAATTTCATGTCGGGAAGAAGAGAGATTCAAAACAAGCGAGGAAGAGGGGTTTACGCTTACCTGCTTCAGCCTTCTTGGATTCTTGCTTGGTCAAGGAAGAGGAAGGCACAGGGGCCTCGCAGAAGAAGCTGGGGCGTCGACGTTGATGAAGGAGATGGCCAGACGGCGTTGGACAAGGAACGCTGAGGGCTTCTTTTCGCAAAAAAATAAGGGTAGTTTAGAATATTATCGAGCGGAAAGCTGGGTCGTGGGGTGGATCCCACGGCCCGATTTTCTCCCGCTAAACAATAAATTTTCATGATTCGGAGCTGCGAAGCGGCAAAAAAGAGGTCTCAAACGGAGCCTAAACCTTCGTAAATTTTTCTCATTATAGATTATAAAACATGAAAATTTCGCCCTAAAGCTTAAAGGAAAGGAAGGCCAAGGTACAACAAATAATCGGTGTTCCTGCAACAGTCCTCTTCTCTTTTCTCTTCCTCTCGTACCTTCATCATCATCCCCTTCCTCCAGTCCAGTACCCACAGATGTGGCTCCCATCTCCTGCCGCCGATGGCAACTCCAACGCCAAAATCAAAGCCAGATTCTCCTCCTCCTCTTCATCCTTCTCCCGCTCTTCTTCTTCTTTTTCTTCTTCTTCCTTCTCCTCCGTCCCCCGTTCCCCCAGCACCAAAGCGTAAAAGTATGGAAGAAGTCTGGAAACACATTGACCTCTCCACCCTCGCCCACGAAAGCCAGCCGCCGACCACCGTCTGTAGCGATCAGCACCACTTCAATATGCGCCGCATGATCTTACAGGATTTTCTTGCGAGCGCTTTCGAAAGCCAGCCGAGATCTCCCGTCGCCAACGAGCTGCCTCAATTTCCCCTTCCCCCAACTGCGCTCAGCCTTAGCAATGGGATGGGCGGCCCGATCGCTCCGCTGAAGCTTCCCCTTCACGCTGCTACATCCATGTCGGCGAAGAAGCATCCTCTCGACGACGTTTGCTCCAACTCAAAAGATGACCGCCACCTTAAGCGAATGATGAAGAACCGCGAGTCCGCCGCCCGTTCTCGGGCACGAAAGCAGGCCCGTACACATCTGCTAATCGTCTTCAGTACATGTTTCTTACAATAAATTCTCATCATATAAAATTCAAACTTTCCCCCCTTACCCACTATTATCGGTTACTCTACTGTTCATGCGAGATAAAGCAGGCATACACTAACGAGCTGGAGTTGGAAGTGGCTAACAGGGCAGAGGAGAATGCGAGGTTAAAGAAACAGAACGAGGAAGTTAGTACCAAGAACTAATTTTCAGAGCTATGTTGCCCTGCTTTCATTTTCATGCAGTGAGTAGACTATTCAAATTTTATCTGTTTTGTTTGCAGCTTAGAAAGGCAATAGCTGCTCAGATTCCCAAAAAGGATTTTCTTCAGAGAACTTCATCCGCGCCATTTTAAAGGAGAAAACTTGTTGGTTCTCATGTGGTAAGAGAGACCTGGCAGCGGTAAATCCGCTAGTTTTTCTCTTTGCTTTATTTGCTCCTTCCCATCTTTCGACACTGCAAAACGGCGGATAGGAAGGGAAAGGAGATGGATTGTTGTAATGGAGCCGGGTAGATCTGTCTCTCCAGAAATGAAAAAAACTCTTACTATAGTTTTGTTATAATTTTCATTTGTTTTCTCTATTTTGTTTCTTCTTTTCTGTGCGAGGGGAGAGGGAAATGTCAGGATTTGAAAGCCTAATTTATTGCCTTGTAAAAGAATATTCACCCTATTAGCATACGGTTAGCTCCCACTTTGGCTGTTTCTACTACAATTACGAAATTTATTTATTTGCTTATTTTATTAATGTGATTGCATTTGACCAATTTTATTATAAATATAGACCGTTAAATGAGTGACTCAAAACGGGAAAAAAAAACATAGAAGTTATTTAACCATAAGGAGAAGACCAAATTAATGGAATGAAAAGCTCGGCCTAGTCCAACAGTATAATATAGAGTCATGGAGCATGTTCCGTTGGACTAGGGAGACATGTGAAAGGGGAAACTTGCTATATACTACGGCATTAGAAGTAACTGTGTCGTGCAGGGAGAACATAACTGTTGCCGCTAAATTTTTTGTCGAAGCCCTGTCATTCTTTTCAACATAAAACAAAAAGAACAACTTTTAAGCCATAAATTCCTTGCAGTTAGAACATCCAACCGCACAAAACATTGATGAAAATAGTAGGATTGCCTGCCGACAACAGAAAAAAATAATGAAATCTAGAAGTGAGTATAATTAAGGAAACTATAGCAGGCTACGGCAAAAAGTGATGGGCCCATTAGTGTCCATTCGAGCAACAAATATTACCCGATTTCATAGTACAGATAATTTGTTTGAGAGACTTGAGTCTTTTATTTACCATTTTCTAAGTTTGTGCCACCTGCAATTTTTCTTCCATCATAATGGTAGTTGGGGAAGAATTTTGCCATTAAGTCAAGTTTGTAGATATATTATTTAAAACTTGGTGCGGATTTGATGCTATAAAAGGAAGTTACCATTTAGTAAGGTTTTCCTAATTAACCAACGTGTTCCTATTCAACCACATATAAGTTGTTGAACCTAAGTGTTCAGGAATCACACCGAACGGAGCACGTAGAGCATGTGTGGAAGTAGAGAATGAACAATAGAAAAGCAGTTTCTATATCCTTTAATTGGGATGGCCTCCTATTTATAGGTAAAGGAAATACCTCAAGTATATAATTATTTTTAGATCCCTTTTCTATGTAAAGGAATGTGAGGGTATCGAGGTCATTTACATAGTATATTTAATCATGCTAATAATTAATTATCGACTAGTGGTGGTTTGATTATTATTCGTCAACCCAATCTATGCTTGTCAACTCAGTGGTATTGGCTGAACCACGTGAATACAGTATGAAGTTTCTTTGGTTGGGTTTGCCCATGGCTTCTTCTCAAGTCTTGGCTTGTTCGCCTTGTTTGTTGAATGATAAGGCGTCTTCCTTTCGGTCCACCCTATGGGATCCCTTCATTTGACACTGATGCTGGTCGGCTCGAAGATTAAGCGAATGATTCAATAGAGCTCTGTGACGATCTCCTGACTTTGACATTAAACTTCTTGATCATTTGATTTAGTTCTTTGACTTAATACAATTACATCTTGATCGAGGACCCACTCCATTTGTCATATTCCTCAACTTTGCATCGATATTTGTGCTGCCACAAACTGGCCACATATATCTAGTTCCCCATATTTATATTTTTTTGAAAGAGATGTGATAAAAACAAAAAGTTAAATACTGCATTAAATGCAACTTTAATTCTTGAAATCAATATTTAATAATTAGATCTACCGGATTTTCGTGCACTGCCACTTTATAAATAGGTTGTTATCCGAGATTGTAGCTTCAACATTTCTTCTTGGTTTAGAGCTTTGATTGTACCTCATTGCGAGTACTCTGATAGTGATTGGCAGAAGGGAAAATTCTGGGGGAGCATCGGATGACATCCTGATTATGGCCTTTCGATTACATGCCGATAAGATTCATCTTTCATGCTCTTTTGTTCAGAGTTGTCATACTGATGTTGGTTTGATCGGTGAGTGAGGAAGGAGCCTTGAGGGTGACCAATTTACTAAGAAGAGAAGAATAAAATAGTTGGCTTTCGAAGAGGGATAGTTAAGTGGGGCTGATGCTTGTTCCTTTGGCATTGTAAATCAAGGAAAGGCTCAATGACTACTCTTGCTGTGACATTAGCCATCCTAGGCAAGCAAATGAAAGAGGATGCTAAAAACAAAGGCATGACAGGTCTCCCTCATGTTCAAGAGATGAGAGCTAGGGGCCCTTCACCAATGCCTAGTGAGAGTTCCTCATCATTTCTCTGGTCTGAGGTGGAACAACTCCTTGGCAGGAGTATGGCTATTGGTTTATTAGTTAAGACAAATACTCAACCTACCATGTTTTTTTTTCTTATGCAGCCAACCTGATTCCTATTTCTGAATCATCAAAGGTTGTTGAGGGTTAGACATCGACTCCTTAGAAGGCCGTGGGGAGCCAATCGGTGCTCGTCGAAGGATAGTCGATTGATTCTGTGGTTCTTTGAATAGACGAGACAACAAACTTCTTTGCCCGCGAAGATGAAGCTTGAAAGGTAGAGGAAGCTCAACAAGAGGACAATTTAAACAATTTAAAGGCCCAGTTGAAAGCACTTTCTGAGAAGCTGTCAGCAAAGAACCTCAGGCTCAAGGTTGATGCGGTAGACCATCAGACAAAATTTAGGTCCTTCAAATGGAGAATGTGCTCCTGCATACGGATTTGACTGATATTCAAGAGGCTCGTTCGCTCTCTAGGTTTAAAGTTGAGGCAAACGATGTCGATAGTTTTAAGTTAGGTGATCGGGTTTTGTATAAAAAGTTGTTGAGGTGTGCGTTTGTTGCACCTTAACTGGTTAATGAGCCGGTTGTAAAATTTTTCTTACCTGAATGAACATAATTTTTGTTATTTGATTTGCAAGTTATTCATTTACCATGAATATTTCAAATTTTCTTTCTTTCTCCTATTTTTAATGATGTGACATGATGATTGAATTCCCAAGACATGACTCATGACATTTCATCTTCTGCTCTGAGCCCAATATCTAGGCTTGGAGGCCCTCCGTGGCTATTACTTTTGTTTGCATCTTTTAGATGTTTCTTCTCATTTTCCCTCCTATTTACTACATCCCATGACTTTCAAATATTTGCCTAATGATTTCGAAGAAGTGTGCGCTTCCGTGTAGCCTTCCAACGAGGTTTCATGGTTGAAGAGGTAGTACGACTGCAAGGATGGCATAGTCTTGGAGGTTACGGGGCAAAACGACAAGGTGACCGGTCATTATAGGGTGTAACTTGTGTTGTATCATTATCAATTCGTTCACGGGCTTCAACTTCCCTTCTCTCATAATCTCCAGTCCATTTTGAATCATTATGGGGTCCTGCTTTCTCAAATAAAGGCAAACTATACAACGACATTGATGAACTTTATTATTTATTGTTTTTAAAAGGAGATACCTTGGTTGCAGGAACTATTTTCCTATGTGTTTTCCTTCAGGTGGGTTGATTCAAACGACTACGTCAACTTTTCCTTAAACAGGATGATCTAATGATTGACTGTTGGCATCAATTTTTGATGTCATGAGTGTAGGGTGTCCACCCGCATGACTCAGGATAGTTTACGGTCTGTCCGTGACGTCCAATAGTTCAGACACCTACCCGAGACCTTTTCAACGCGTGTTGAGGGGCACGTAGTCAGGGTCATTTTCCTAGACTATGGCTTTCTCTTAGGTGAAGGCTGGTCGACATTTGACACGTCAAACGACCCTGATCGGGGCAAAAAATATTATGTAACGCGTCGCGCGCGATTTTGACTTAAATTGTCTCGATCACTTGACAAAGTGGTCCTAGTGACCTTGGATGATGAAACGGACCCTGTCAATGTGTTCGGAACGTCGATTTTGCTTAAGAAGAATGTCCACTTCACCACAGCTTCGCGGGCGGGGGTAAAGGTGTGTAAATTATCGTTTTGGGCACGATAGTAAAAAATGTGACCCAAATGACCCCACACGACGAAACGGACTGCGTCAATGCATCCAGAACATCGATTTTAGCCAGGAAGGGCATCCACTTCGCTTTGAGGACGTGTACGAGCTAAAAATGCACTAAGGATAATAATAATAATACTATTAATAATATTATTATATAATATTATAGCATTATATATTATTTTCCTTATAAACTCACGCACGCCTCTCCCTTATCTCTCGAATCGCACCAGCCGCCACCCCTCCTTTTGCGACAAACCCTACCCCGAGCTCCCTCTTGCCTCGCCGGATCTCCCTTTTCGCTGACGAAACACGCCGTCGGATCTTCCTCACTTGTCAGAGCTCCCTCCAACTGCCGGTAAAAAGCCTCGGCCATCCTCCTCTCGGCTCACCGCAATCACGGCCTCCCTATCTCGTTGGCGACGTCCCGCAGGCTTCCTCCATCACCGGTGCCCTCCTGTCGTCGGTCCGAGTTCCCCCTCGCCGGACTTCTTTTTCGGTCCGAGCCTCCCTTTGTCGGCCTTCTTCTTCGGCCGAACCCTCTTCTTCTTGGCAAGCCTCGTTGGACATGTAGACCTCATGCCGGTGCTGCACTAGCTCGCTTTAATCTCCTTGCAAGCAGAAAAGAGGGAGGAGCTGAAACCCTGTCCTTTGCATTTTCCGTCGGCGAGCTAACTCCTCCACCTCGTCGTCCCACCTTCCCGTGAACCGGACACTTCGTCGGAACACCTCGTTGTCGCCGAGCAGCAGTGTTTAATCGCCTTGGAGAGGCGTGGACGTCTTTTCCGCTGCGAGGAAGGCTTCTCCACTTTCACCGTCGTCGAGCGATCCTCTCTAGCGAAGGTACCCTTTTTTTGGTGTCGCATATTTTTACATGCTAAATTATTTATTTTCTGGTACTTTGCATACCTCTTGCCCTTACAGCCTTTTATGTCATTTTGTTGTCTTATGCACATTTCACGAGGCACACTGGTGCATGGATTGGACGTCGACGAGCTTGGATCAAGCAAAGAAAACACATCTGCAACCGTCACTGTGGTGAGATTTCTTACCTCCTAGCCAGCCTTAGGAATAGTGGAGTCTAGGCATGTGGGTTTGATCGCCCACACGGGGTGCTTGCGCCGACGTGGGTCAGCACGACGAAGTACCTGCGTGATGGATCGTTGAATTTTCTAGATCCAG